ATAAACTCATATACTGCATACTACATCAGGCCGTAGCCCATAACACTTAACACATAAATCATGTCTGAGCCACGAAAGCATCAAACAAACTAACAACTGCATTAGTTAAACTCATACGAATGATCTTGTCCTAAGGCCTCGCTCTTGTCCTGCTACTGATGAGTCATGGGACCCCGTCCACGCTCCTACTAGTAGTGAGATACGGGCCTAGCCCACTCTCACTCCTTCCCTAACTTGGGCCTCGCCCCTGTTCTGATACTAATGAGATGTGGAATCCTATCCACACTCAGCTATTGGTGAGATACGGGACCTCGCCCACACCCACCTCCCTACCAGGAACATACATGTATCACACAGACAACAAATATAAACTATCATATAAACAAATCCTTGGGCACCCGCCCGCTATTAATGGACCTCATCCAGAATATCATACTAGCATACTATGCCTAGGGCTAACCCCCGGGTCTTCTACTCATAACTACATGGGCCGACATTGTGGCCTTAGACCCATTCACACAAAGGGAAACTCACCTGCACTGGCTGAACCTGCTGATGATCTCACTAGCTGCTACCCGGTAACCCACTGAACTCCTGCTCCCCTTGCTCCCCGAACTACCAATATCAAAGCAACACTGAGTCTAACTGACCCCCGAAAGACAACCAAGTCAACTCTGGTCAAAGTCAAAGTCCTGGTCAAAGTCAATCTTCCAGGTCAACCCTACTCGCCGAGTCACCCTACTGACTCGCCGAGTTCGAATGTTCAGATTCCTTCCATTCGCATCTTGACTCGCCGAGTCAGTCCATGACTCGCCGAGTTTACCGATTTTTGAGTCCTGACCTGTCCAACTCACCGAGTCTCCACCAGACTCACCGATTCGAGTCTCAACTCGAAGGGTTTGGGGTTTCGCAACCTGACTCGCCGAGTCCAAGAACAGACTCGTTAAGTACAAGGCAATCTTCATCTGACTCGATGAGCTATTCATCCCACTCGTTGAGTTGCTCCCCTCTTTCATGCTACTCGCCGAGTCCACTCAAAGGACTTGCCGAGTCCATTCATATCTCCTTACATGCAGAGGACTTCTGAGTCATGCATGGACTCCAAACTGTAGATCTACCCTTCCCAAGCCTATTTCTCACGTAAATTTGCAAACTTTACGTGTAGAGAAGGAGATCTAGGCAAAATACACCATAAACTAGGGTTTAAGGCAAAAAGGCTCCATAATCAACTCAAGGGCTGCTACTTTATGCTTCTCAAGACCATAATATGCTTAGATCTGAAGTAGCAAGTTCAGATCTGGCTTCTAACTTGAAAGAATAACATTATGGCTAAAAGCCCCAAAAACCATATAGAGATCTAGGTGCAAAAAGGGTCCAAGAACTAGTTTATTACCTCCAGATGCTCAGAGATGAACTCACAATCCCAGATCTATAGTCCTTTCTTGCTCCTCCAAATTCCTTCTTCCTTCTCCAAGCTTTAATGCACCTTCCAATGCAACAAATGGCTCAAATAGAGGATATGGCGGCTAGGGTTTAATGTTCTAGGTAAAAGAGGCAGTAAAGGAACCTTAGGGGAGAGAATGAGGCGTTAAAATAGGCTCCAAGTCCCGATTTTAGGGTTTTCCTCGCACAGACCAGACTCGCCGAGTCCCCTTGGCCGACTCGCCGAGTCGGTCACTTACTCCTCGACCCGGATCCCGCTCGGACTCGCCGAGTTCATCCTTGGACTCGTCGAGTCTCCCTTAAAATTAAGGTTTTCTTTCTTTTCTTGGCCTTCCAAACTTTGGGTGTTACAAAATAAGCTATTTTATGCTCTTGAAGGTTGAAGGAGTGCATCTTGAGCGTTTTCTACGTTGTAACTTATGTATATGTATTGATTATGACATCTTTAGGGTTTTAACATTTTGGAAACAAACTAAAATCAAAATGATCTTTTGTACTAGAAGTTTTCGCAAATACAAATAAATGACTTTTAAAGCATAAAGAAAAGTCTTAATTGGTTCTGAAAATTAGAGGATTTCATATCGACAAAAAACAAAAACTCAAATTTGAAATCTAAAATCACGAACAATAACTAAATCAAAAATCACAAACAGATTGAAGAAGAAGAAGAGGCAGCATTCATGACTAATATACCCGATTCATTTAAGGTTTTTTTTTTCAAGTTTGAAAACCCATCACCGAGATGAACACATATATACACAAATTATTTTTCATAGATGAGGGCTTGAATTTTTTCAAAAATTGTTTTAGATACGAGGTGCATCGGTGAATTCTCTCCAATCACCATCACTGTTCCTCTTCCTCACCTCCCATTAGCAACACCACTTGCCATTAAACCTAGCAAAAATCAATGAAACAAGTATGTTCTTAGTGCAAACCCAGATCCGATTCATGGGTGATCCTCCCCTACGTAGTTTTTCTCTACCCCTTCTCTTTAATCAATACGCAATGCAACAACAACATGGCTTCTTTTTCTTTTTCTTTTTTGATTTTTTGGCTGGTGTAGTAAAGAACAACATGGGATGTCAATTATTGAAGTTTATGGACGTGGATGAAGAAGATGATGACATGATGGAACAATAAGGATGGATGGTTAAGGTGTTAAGATCAAGGTTGGAATGGGTAATGTGAACTTGCAAAATCAGGTGTTCTTCCATATGATAATTAGGATTTAATGACCTTGGTATTTAGAATAACATACTAGCAATTTAGGGATATGATTTACAATTAGGGAGTTTTTAAGATCATGAAGATGAAGTAGATTCTTAAGAGTTGAGATGAATGTGATTATGAATCGATCTTGTGTGAATTTACAAAAGATGAATATAAATCTAAATGAGTTTATCTATTTATAAGTTTTTTTTCCAGATATATATATATATATATATATATATATATATATATATATATATATATATATATATATATATATAGAGAGAGAGAGAGAGAGAGAGAGAATCTATTTTTTGTTTTATTTTTAATTGTTTTGTAATTACTGTAATAAAAAAATAAAAAATTAAATAATAAGGGGCAAAATCATCTTTATAAAAAAGTTCAAACCAAATTGAATTAAACTCGTAACAAAATAAAAGGTTTGGATCTCTGATACTAGTTCAAACGTGTTTGAACCAAAGTAGTATTTTTCACCTAACCATAGGGACCAATCTTACAATTTTATTTAATTTTATATGAATTCCATATATAAATATTAGACTTTCAATTAGGAAATCTAAAAAAAATCTAAAACTTTTGAGAAAAATTTCAATAAAGATTTTTTTTAATATAAAATATTACATTTAAATTATAACTAATAGAAATATATATATATATATATATATATATATATATATATATATATATATATATATATATAACTTAGGAAATCTAAAAAAAAATCTCAAACTTTTGTGAAAAGTTTCAATAAAATCTTAAAATATTTTTTTAAAAGACTAGTACTGATTATTTAATATTTTGTTCAAATTAACAAAAAAATTTATTTTTATATTTGAACAGCAAATCACAAATTATAAGATTTTCTTGAGACTTTATTAAAAAATAACTTTTAAAATTTTATTAAAATTTTTCTTAAAAATTTGGAATTTTTTATGTAGATTTCTCTTAGAACTTCAACTCTATTTTAAAAGAGGTGAATAATACTTCTCATGTCTTCCATATTTAGTGGAATAGTGATCATATTTTCGATGAAAATAAGGTTGAGTTGGAAGAAGAAATACAGAAAAAATAAAATTAGAGGCTTGACGAAAATGCTCTAAGAAGTAAGAAATACCATTTCATTTTATCCAATCATATAAAACCTCATTTTAATGTATCTTGATAGCTTTATACGTAGAAAATAACCCAATATATCTGACCACTAAAAAATATCATTTCAAGGGTTAAAATACAATTACCGTTGAAGATGCACCAATTTCATGTTATTATGACAGGTGGACATACAATTTCATGTTATTATGACAGTCAACATCCTTTTTTGGCATGCTCGTTTGGGACGGGTGCCAACACGTCTAAACTTGGAAAAAAGAAGGGTCTATGAGCAACACTCCTCTGATCCCGAGTCGGAGGAACATCTATTCTTGTATTGTCCTTTGGTTGTGCAGGTGAGATCAAGAATATGGATGTGGTGGCCAAAACGGATGCATCTCCTTGGATAATTTCCTTGTTGCTAGTGCGAGTGGCATCAAAATCAATGAGGTGAAAATTATTATTCTCATGGCTATGATGCGGATAATATGGAGCTACAGGAACAATCGCAACTTCAACTCTACCTCTAGAAGCAATATATTGCTAGTGATGTTCAAATTTCAGTCTTTCAATTTGTTAAAATTAGAACTAAAATTGGTGCCGCAAAAGTGGTGAACTGACCCGAAAAGAGTTTGTATCACTCTAACTTAATTCTCGCTAGCCTCTTATCTACAAATCTTTCTGGCTGTTTAAAAAAAAATGGTAGTTGGAGAGTTTGTCTCGAGGTGACTTGCACCAATATACAAACTTTTTGTTGAAATTAAGGTCGCATATATTCGACTTGAAGTTTTCACTCTCTAATATATCCCGTCTTTATTTTGGAATATTTAACCGAAGATACATGCTTGGTCGTGAGTGCATTCCGGAGGATATTAAATGCTAGAAAGTATACGAAGACCATTTTGGTAAGGGAATAAGTTGACATCGTTAGAGTTTGTTTTGCTTCTACGAACTTTGATTTTGAAGATTCGTACCAGTAACGTTTGAATTATTTGATTTATCACCATTTTTTTGGACTATGTGTCTATGTCGTTCAGGATCGAGGTTAGTTCTTTATGGCTTTTTGGTATCTTTTTTATCAGATGTCGTTCGAGTTCGTTTAATGTCCTGAATGTGTACGTATACTATCACTATGTAACATTTTCAATAAGCACAAAACTAAAACGTTTCTTCTCAAATATTTACTACGAGGTTGACCCCGTCATTACTTGGATGCAATTCAAACTATGAATCACCAAGTATATAGATACACCTTTTGCATATTTACAGGCATATGATCCCAACTAGAACCATGAAAAAATCAACCAAAAAGTAACCACGTGTACAACACCCTGTGAAAGATAACACAGGAACGACATCTTCAGTGTTTCAGCGGTGGTGGCTGAACAAACGGCTTATTTTCCACCTCCACTCCCACCGATTTCAGCGACTCTGTATATGGCTTCGGGTGCCTGTAATAGTGTCATGTCAACTCGATTCAATTATCACTATAACTCTGCAAAAATTGCTCATTAAATAAGTATTTGTTAACAATAATTACATGGAGTAAGTATCCCCTCTGATGGGATCAGACATGACTTGTTGGCGATCAGCTTCCTGCACATGTGCTATCTTCCTGAAGAAGGACTTCTTGATGAACTCATTCGACTCCTCCGCCACCTTCTCCGGCTCCACCAGCTCCGGCAAAGTCTCTCGCTTTGACTTCTTCACTGAAACATTCGGCGCCCTTCTAAGTTGATGCGTCGCAGTGAACACTCCGATGCTAACCGACATCATAATCAACCCCAGCGAGATGTAAACCGGTGCATACGCACCTTTCACCAGACTATTAATTTTTCACACTCATCAGATACAAACCAGTGAAACCACATATACGACGCATAATATCAGTTCGTGAATGATATGAATTACCTGGGTTTCGGATCATGGTGACCATAGCTGTGATCAGCGGTTGGGGAGTAAGCTTTCATCTTAGGGGAAGTTGATGTAGAAAAAGCTGACATTCCTCTTGACCGATTCACCATTGATTTCACCAAATTCTGCAAGGTAAAGAAACAGACACTCATGCAGAATTAGATAAGGAAATGGTTCAAATTCACTAAAATGATTCCAGTTTTCATTGCTGAAGAAAAAACAGGAGTTAACAGGGTGATGGTATATGACTCACAGTTGCTCTTAACGCCATTGAAGAATGATGGAACCTGTGAACTTTTGATAACAAATTGTGAATTGAGTGGATGGATTGTTATTTGTTGGTGTTTGCAAATGGTGTACTGATGTGGTACCTAAATATATTCGGGAAGAAGAGACACGTATTTTCGAGAAGAGATGACGGAGACACGTGGCGGTAGGAAATGGGTACACCGTTTCCGTGGAAGGCTCTGGAAGAACCACGTGTACTTCCTGACTGTGATATGGTTCTTTTAACTCGCCAATGAGGGTGATAATTTTTTTCCAACTTATAATTATTCTTTTCTTTTTGCAAAATTAACGTATATTTCAAATAATTTTGTTTTATGATATATTTTTAATTGATAAAAAATGGAAGAGTTTAACAATTTTACAAATGTATTTTAATCATTTTGTAAATTTTATACTTCAAAGTGAAGATAGTTTGACATTAAAACTATTGAAAAGTTATCCCACCTTGGTGTTCTTTCTCCTCACATGTTTTATTTTCGTTCTCATTTAAAACAAAATAATAATAAAAAATATAGCATGTTAAAATGTTTAAATGAAACCAAATTCTTTATTTGACAGAAATTTTTATTACTTCTAGAACTAGAATGTTAGGGACCATTAAATCTTCATTCTTCATGATTTTCATACTCATAACAAAATTTGAGAATGAGGATCGATAAGAACCAGTTTGAGTATCCATATTGGTTAATCCTCCATTAAAATAAATTATTTGGTCACATAGATGATTTTTTTTATTTAATAAAAACTTATCAGTAATTGTTTCAACTTAAATTAACCTTCTATATATGAAATATTTATAAAATAGTATTTTAATATAATTTATTGCTTTTATTAGTGATATTAGAAATTCTAATAACATATCATTGAATATATATATATATATATATATATATATATATATATATATATATATATATATATATATATATATATACTAATTAGAAAATATAATAAAAATTTGATGTTTAAATATGATTATAGAAATAAAATAAAAATTACTAAATTGAAGAATTAACCGTACAAAAAAAATTATAATATAAATGGTTAAAGAAGAGAAAATAAAATAAAAAAGATATTTAATAACTGTATATATTCTTTTTAACTTTTACCAACATCTGTAAACTATTCTTAAGCTATAATTAAAAAACTTGATGGCCTAATGGATTTACTCATTCAATAATAAATCTATTATTTAATTATGATTATGATATGATACTAAATAGATTTTAAAATATTTTCCATGCGAATGACATTTATAAACTTACTTTTGTGCAATAATATATTAAAAAGTAATGGAATAATTGTTAGTGGGGTATGCTAATTAAACGGCTTTGGCCAGTGTTCTCGAGATTACTAAAAGCCTTAAATCTTTTATGATAGACAAAATTGCAAAAATGGTCCCTGTGGTATGCAAATTTTTGGGGTTTTAATCCAAACAGTAACTTTTTTGGTTTCGTAGTCCTTTTGGAGTGTTTTGTATGTGAAAATGGTCCCTCCGAAAACTGAAATGACTATAATACCCTTGGGGTATTTATTTTTCATTTTTCTTTCATTATTCTTAAAATTTAATATTTATTTATTTATTTTAACAATTAAAAAAATAAAAAAGGTCCCACCTCTCTCTCTCTCTCTCTCTCTCTCTCTCTCGTAGACACACTAAATAATCACCCTCTTCATCTACATTGGCTTCGATTCCATGGTTAAGCATTTCAGTGAACACATGGTATGCACTAGAACAAACCTAACAAATGAGCACACATATCTGCAAGAAAAACCCAGATCTTTAATCTTAAGTACAAACAAGAAAAATCCACACCAGATCTTTGATAGCAATGATTCTTCTCGTCTTTCCTCCGGCATCTCCCTGACTCCAGATTAAGAGACTTAGTAAAATTACAAGAATTTTGTCAGAGATTTGCACTTGAATTCTTTAGAACTAGATTCCTCTTCATCTTCTTCCTCATAAACCTCTTCTACACCTCTTGATATTTAAAGCTTTCACGACTTTAGATCTTGATGTAGGTTTCTTGATGTGGCAACAACGATATCTGTTCTCCTTTTCTTCTTATTACCTGTACATATAAATTTCTTTCCCATAATTTTTTTCTTTCATCTCGTTGTTACCGGAATCGAGATGCACCAGGTGGATACCATCACTGGGTTTCTTTAAAGCAGAGACTACACCAAGTCCACCCCACCCATATCGCGTGTCACTTGTTGAGTTGAGAGGCTCAACACAGTAGCTACATCGACAAGCTTACATCCATAGCAAGTCAAAATGAAAGTGAAGAAGAGTTAATGAGGCATTTGGTCGAATAGGTGGTGTGTGTGTGTGTGTGTGTTCACCGTTGATGAAGCTTGGTATACTGGCGATGAGTTCCATCAAACATCAATTGGGAAGCCGTCGAGGAGGATTTGAAGTCTTTTGATGTTGACTGTTCGATCTAAATACAAAATCTAACCCAATTGCTTGATTCGCCTTAACTTCTTCCTCACCCTCTCCTTCATCTTGCCTCTCACTGGAATACGCCGCCGCCATGGGACCTCCGACGAAGAGTCTAGTCCCTCTTTTCTCCTTCCCCATTGGTATCGAACTGAGCCTCTTTTCCCCCCTGCAACAACTTTGTACCCATTAGACCAATATTGGTGGTTGAAGAGGGCTTTTGCAAAGGTGGACCATAGGCAATGATATTCGATCGTAGGTGATGGTGACGAAGACACAACTGAGCAATTATTTGGTTTGTATTAGGATTCGAATGTTAAAGGAGATTGAAGGGAGGAGAAACATTTCGAAAACCCAGTGAAGGTGTTGCCACAATCGACTTGCTCACATGTTTCCTCTTCTTTCCTCTGTCGATGTAATAAGAAGAAAAGGATAACAGATATCGGGAACAACATCAACAAACGAAAGAAGGTGATGGGGTAGTGCTACCTGACGGTAGGAAGGCGGAGGCGAGCTGAGGAGAGAGAGAGAGAGAGAGAGAGAGAGAGAGACCTTTTTTATTTTTTTAATTGTTAAAATAAATAAATAAATATTAAATCTTAAGAATAATGAACGAAAAATGAAAAATAAATACCCCAAGGGTATTATAGTCATTTTAGTTTTTGGAGGGACCATTTTCACATACAAACCACTCCAAAAGGACTACGAAACCAAAAAAGTCACTGTTTGGACTAAAACCCCAAAAATTTGCATACCACAGGGACCATTTTTTGCAATTTTGTCTTATGATATGAAATTATGAACGGGGGATGGACACTGGAATCTGGAAACCGCATTTATTTATTTCTTTTTAATTTGTATCATAAGTCTTTTTTTTTTCTATACAAAAAAGTAATCAAACATACATAATGCAGATAAGTTTTTTTCTTAAAGAAAATAAAGTGTATAAAATAATATGTTATAAAAATTGAAAGAGAGTGTAAAATGTTGTAAGTTACAATTATTTCGACTAACGTTAGATACAGTTATTAATAAAGAAATAAATACTTCTTGAAAAATTGTTAGAACTAAACAAAAGCAATTTTGTAATTTGATATGTTTTCAACTAAACAAAGGCAATTTAGTTAGGCAGTTAGTAACAATTATTTTCCATTTAGCTTCTTTCCTTCTTGTATATATATTGAGTCTGTACCTCGTTTTTGTTGGATTAGTGTCTAAGTCCATAATTATTTTGGTATATACTTGACCCGATGGTGCATGGTCCTTTTGAGTTGTCTTCACCAAAGCAACTTAATTGGAGAAATAAATAAAGAGAGAGAGGGTATTATGATTTATTAATATGTTATAAGAATAATATATTAAAGGAGAAATCATATTTGCTTAATTAATATTTGTCAATAATTAATTAGGAATTAATTTTGTGATCAAGTGTAATTAATTAAACTAGAGGGGCTGAATTGTAATTATGTGATAGTTACAAAATATGGTAATGGTTATCCTAAATATGGGTTGAACGAATTCAAGGAGATAAGGATCCTTGAAATCGTCCAAAGGATAAAGGATAAGGGATTTCTAAGACTTATCTTATGGGTTGCTTTGTGGATAAGCAACTAGATAAGAATAATGACTGAAACCCTATCTCTACACCTATATAAAGACCCTAAAGCCTTAGAGTTCGTGTACTTGTTCCCAAGAAGTCCTAAGGACGAATTCTAACCTCTCCTCTCTCTCTTTATACCTTCTCCATTTGCTCTTGGTGTTTGTAAGCCATTAGAGGAGTGACACTTGTGACTCTAAGCATTCCAAAGTCAAATCAAGGAGATTTGGGATTGTTATTGCTACATAACAATCAAGGTAATATCTTAAACCTAATTATATGTTAATATCGATTTCCATATACTAGAATTAGGGTTTATAGTCTTGGATTCAAAGCATGTACAATAGAGAAACCTAGATCCAAGCATTAGGGTTTGTATGAGCACATAGGATGTCTTATGACCAAAACCCATCAGTGGTATCAGAGCCATTGGTTTGGTTTCAATTGTATGAACTTGATATATTAGGGTTTATTGCCAATAAACCCTAAAAGGCTAGGGTTTTTCGAGATTAGGGTTTGCAAACCCTAATTTGCAAGAGTTTGAATAAGATCTTCAAATCCTTTCCTTAAACCCTTAAATTTCGAAATCTAGGGTTTGTTATAATCCCTTGTTTTTCGAAATTTGCCTCCTCCCCAAGATAAAATCCTAATTTTTAGGGATTTGGATTATCCCATATCTTGTAATTATCCTCTAATTGTTATATATGGTAATTCAAGATTTTGCATTATCCATCCATATTTTCGAAATCTATATAGATATTTAAGGGATTAGGATAACATAAATGTATAAATGGTAATTATCCTCATTATTTAGATAATCCCTTATGATTTAATAATTAAATTAATAGTCTAATTTAAGATAATTATTAAATCAAGAGTTTTAATATTTAAAATTTTAAATTTAAATGTCATAAATTCGAAATTTTAAGATACATTAAAACTAAATTGTTTTGAAATGTTTCAAAACTTGCCCTCAAGTTTTAGAATTTAAAAGTTGATTAAAAGTTGATTAGGAATGTTAAAGTCTAAAACCCTAGTTTTGAAAAGTTCAAATACACCCTTATGGTTTTATTAATTAATTAAGGAGTATAATTAAAAGAGATTTAATAAATCCATAAAAGTTTAGGTTAACCATTTAATTGAATTAAAAGTGTAATTGTTAAAGTTAACCACATAGTATTTTAAAAGTATAAAATGCACCCTATACTATATATATAACATTAAAAGTCTAACATTATATATATGTATGAGTAAAAGTCAGTCTTACCGTTAGTAGGCCTCATTCACGAAGCTGGTCTATAAGGGGTGTTTAAGGAAATTGCCTATAAAATGGAGATTGAATGGGTATCCACTCTTACCCACCGCACTCTTGACTAGTGGAGGGTCGTTAGCCGAACGGGTAGGATAGGATGAAACCTTCCATTATAAGTATAATGAAATACAAAGTAACTAAATGTTTTTCTAATTCCCAATCTTAGTTACTTAGGCAAAAGTGAATTGATGCAATTCCATGAAATTACACTTTGTGCCCTTGCGAAGACGTTAGTGGAGCGTGTGTGGTTTACCGGCACACTAAATGGTTCTAAGCAAAGGTTGCAAAGGGTGACTCAATGTTTTTCATAGTTCGGTGGAGCGTGTGTGGTTTACCGGCACATCGAATGGGTGATTGTAACATGTGAGGGCACCATGTAAGTTTGCATGGTTATTCACACCCGCTTTGTGATCCTCGGCATCCCAGTCACAAACAAGAGGGGCATATCGAGATTTAAACATGCCATTGAAAGTTCAATGAATCTCAAAGGATCTAGGAGTTTTCATAGATTTAAAACTTAAATTTCTTTTTCGTTTTTCATGGTGGAAATTAGTGAATCGTCATTCACTTACCTTCAAATATTCTGCAATTAGGGTTACGGCATCCCTCTCCCGAGTTGTATAATATTGTGTTGGGTCCTAGCCTTAGTATTTCATTTGGGTGATTTACTAAGGACTCAATCTATCAACTAACTTGAATTTGTTTTTCTCCCGTTTTGTAGATGTCAAAGTTCGACAACTATGGTCTTCCCAAATCCCGTGGAACAAGCATTCCACATGAAGATGATATTCCACGATTCGATCGAGGAACAAGAAATCATGCTTCACTTCCTCCTCCTCCTCCAATTATTCTCCCTAACCCACAAGATTGTAAAATTGAAAGGTTCAATATCACTCAAGCCCTTTTGGCAAGTAAACATAAAGAAGGAAAGTCGGTGTGTGCACACGTCTTAGGATGAAGTCACACATTGATAGGTTAAGAATGATGGGATCCGTTGTCGGTGAAGAGATGGCTGTTGATTGGGTTCTTCAGTCACTTCCTAACTCATATAGTGAGTTCGTAAGAGAGTACTATATGATGAACCACGACGTGACCCTTATGATCTCACCTACATGCTTATTGCTGCTGAATCAGCAATGGTTTGGCGCAATAGAAAAGCAAAGTTGATTGGTGAATCTGCCTTCAAGACCTCTATGGATATAGACAATGGCAATGAAAGACATGCAATGATCGAAAAGTTTGATCATAAGAGAAAGGCGATGTCTGAAGTAGTTCCATGTGTTGTTCCAAAAGAGTCAATTTGCTTTTATTGCCAAGAGAAGGGGCATTGGAGACGAAGTTGCCCTATTACCTAAGAGATCTAAGAGATGGGAGAGTCAAAAGTATGGCTCTACTTTAGGTAAAATCCACTATCTAACTCCGTTAAGTTCCTATTCATTGATTCTTAATACATGATGTGATAAGATTGCATTTGAATGTTTTGAAGGATCGGTGAAAAGAAAGGAAGCTTGATAAGAGAGCAAGATGAATCTAATCACAAGAGATGGATCTCGATCGCATGGACTTGAAGATTGGATTTTGAGCTTAGATAGTTATGATAGAGTTGTTAGAAATTTTCCTTTTACATAGTTTTCAATAGATTTTGCATTGTAAGGACAAATGTTTTTCCGCTGCTTTTATAAATAAAATAAATTTGTTTGACTTATTTATTTATTTATTTACTTCCTTGCAATGAAATTGTTATGAAAATTGATGTTTGCATATTTCTACAACGAATGGATATGATTCTTAGTTATGTTATTTATGGAATGTCGAGAATTTACCAAATAGGGAGAGTTTCTCATCGCCCAAAGTTTCAATTGGACTGAAATTTGGAATCACGCAACTTGGTTGCATGATGAATGAGAAATTTCATATTTGGAAATTAGACAAATTCGTTGACAAAGTGTCAAGTGAAGGACTAGGAGATCGAGTACACAAAGTTGTGTGTTGATCAAGTTCACCATAAGAGTAACAAAGATATTCGTCATGATTTACTAAAGTAGAACGAATAAGAAGAATCAAGTAGGCAGAAAGATAAAAGTTTCTCCATTCTAAGAAGAAGGGAGAGTAGCTTTTATGCTTTATGATAAATCTTAATGATTAAGAACCATATCTCAATTGATCCTCTAAGTGAGTCTTAGTACAATTGTATGTTTAAGAAGAGGAATCAAGGATTGAAGAAATGGTTAA